TTCAAATTGGATGTTTTTTATAACTGTTTTTGATTTCTGCCTGTCCATTTACAAAATATTCCACTTTAAGTTTGGGTAGGGATTGAGTAACAGTACGACACTACATTATATTCAAACGCTACGCTCTGACGCTCTGTGTCACCACACAAATAATTATGCATCACTATTCTACCCATATAAAAATTAAAAGTGGAATATCTCGTTAATGGGTTGACGGCAATTATAAATTTCAACACCCAAATGTATTTTAACTAATACTCCATCTATTTATGGAATTTTAATATAATTGTCATTTGAAAATCAAAATTAAGTAGTTGGTTCACACTTAAAAATAAGGGTAAAAAAAATATAATAATGTAAAATTAAGTGCTACTTGTTTCTTAAATTGCAAAAAAACAAAATTACGAAAAAGTTAATACAACTTGTTAATACTAGTTTATACTTTTCAAAATATCACAATGATCATGTCGCATCCCAAAAAGAGTAATGATGCATTCCCAAAAAATACGATTTTCGAATTATCACCATCAAAATAAGAAGATTTTCATTCTTTATAATTTAGTATGCTTAAATATTATAATTATTTAATGTTAAAGACAGTACTATGATCTCAAATGTCTTTATTTATGTTTAAAATAAAATTCCAGCGTAGGTAAATATTGACACTTCTGAGATGTGACTCTAATCTAAGCCCTAAGGAATAATTTAGTCATAAAAGAACAGGTGATAAGTATTATAGCCTAATAAAAACTAGATAAAAAGTTAAGTGCCCCCACCCCAAGAACATTTTTTCTAACTACCGTATTGTAGTTGATAGTGTTATTCTCACTGTAGAATATGTTTTTGGATGTCAGTAGGTACCATAGACTTATAAACTAGTTTACCCTATCTTTGATAATTTATCGATGGTACAGCACCAAGTCAGCGAATGAAAATTGTCATATTTTATTCAGCGGAAAAATTCACTGAATATGATATTCATGATGGGGTTTTTTAATTCATCATATCCCAGCAAACAAAAACCTTCGATTCCAGCGGTTTGAAAACACAATGGTTATGATGCATAATAGACAATGACTAGAGTTCGGAAGTTATAGGAGCTAAAAAAGGAAAAATATGCATGCAATATGTACAAAAAAATTATAGAATATACATGAAAAAATATGAAATTTGCATAAAAGACTATTTATTTATTTTTTATTACATAACATTATTTAAAATAAATTGGTTAAGAATGAAAAAATTAATTTTTTTTAGAAAATATTAAATATAGATACAAATACGCGAAAATCAATGAAAATCGATGAAATATACATTTTTTCTCTAAAATTAACGAAATATGCAAAATATATATTTTTAATATTCAATTTTTAAACTCAACATTGTATGGCTCGGATTTCTAGCTTGGTCTGCTATAAATCGAGACCATACAGAATAATATGCAACTCCTATAACTTCCGAACCTAATAATGACTGATACACCTATATTGATAGTTTGGATTTTAGCACCAATAAACCGTTTCAAATAATTAATAATAGGTGTGTTTTAGCAATTAACCTGGTTATATTCATTATCGGTTATGGTTGTATGATTTTGGTTAATGGTTATAGATTCACGAAAACAATATGTTTATGGTTATTACAATTAATATATAATTTAAAAAAGTACTGACTATTTATCCAACTATTAATTTATTAATAATCAAACATCATAACCATTAAAATGGTTTGGTTATGATATTTCAGTAATCTATAACCAAACTTTTTAACCAAAGTAATAACCAAAATCACCAAAGCAACTTGTTTATAAGCTACAGTATCCAGGTTACATTTGGTTATTCATCAAAACACTTAAACACGCCTAATAATAAATTATAAAAATACCAATATAGTTTTATGAGATTTATCTAAAGATACTGCATAATACCTAGCCGAAAGAATAGATATTATCCAATAAGGCCCAGCCGGCCCCTACTAAAATGTGAAGTCTTGTTGCGCCTATTGTCTTATCTACTTCAAAAACATCATGGATCACACGAAAAAGATAAATAAAGTCTGATGTAATATATTAAATACCGATAAATTTTAGTTCTTAATTTTTTAACGGGTTCCAAAATATAATAGCTCTATACGATTTATTTTCTTGTGACCAACTATGAAATTTGATCTCGTCAAAATCAAATAAAAATATTTTATGTAAAACGATTAATTTGTATAATTTTTTTTCTATGTATTTCATCATTCAATTTTTTATATTCAGCCACGTTTTACATTTTGATTGTGATATGTCTGATGATGAATTTTTAATTCGAAATCGGTCGTAATACACTTATCATAATACTTTTTTTATAAATATTTATACTAAATAATTTTTACTAAATGTTTATTTACTTTATACACAATAAACATTATATATTTTCTGTAATAATAATTGTTTAATATTTTAATCAATTTTCCCGTTTTTTATCATTTAATATGAAAACACCTGAGAAAATCAAAAAGTGGTCACCTTTCAGAAAAAGTACTAAAATAGAAAATCGGAGCAAAATCAGCGGTAGAAAAATTATTCACAATAAAAATCATTGTAAAACGAATACACTCTTTATTTCTCTCAGAATCTAAAACGGTTCTTTAAATACTAGACAGTATAAATTAGAAGAAGATTTCATAATGTTACGTGTTATTTATTATATAATAACAATTCAAATAAAGATATCAGCGTTCAGCAGTGCTCGAATTGATAAAATAAAAGAAGAGGGATGAGATATAAAAAAATTGGCGTCCCTTGCAATTATTGAACTCAACACAACCCGTGGAAGGCTTAGCCCTCCACACTTCCTACACCAATTTTCAAACATAGTTCAGTAATTTATAATTTCAGAAAACAAACACTACCTACTGCAGGCTAATTTTTACTTAGAAAGTACCTACTACCTACAACAGTAGATATTATTTATTTTAGATTCTAATATGATGATTATTGTGATGATGTGTTTGTTCTTTTTCTGTGTGTGAACAACTTTTTTACCTAAAATTTTACTCCAATTATCAACTTTAGAGACAATGGTTCCTCGTAAAAATTATTGTCTGCTTGGTACAATAACGAGGTTACTTTTTGGTTTTCTCTATAGTCTTAATTATGAGGAAACCCCTAGAAAAAAAGTCGGGAAAACTTGTAACTGTTACATTTACTGTTTCCTTCCGTTTTATTCTATTTTGTTTATTCAATGAAAAATAATCGTAGAGGTCAAAAATTCAACTTAATACTTCTATAGGTATAGTCTCTTATCAGCTCTTTCCAGACATGGTACCTTGTATCCTCCATTGCGTTCCATGCGTTTAACTTTAAAAAAATAGTAAAGATACGCTTACATTTCTGAGAAATTAGTTGAGGTACTCCGTCCACCTGTATCTCTCCTCAATTCGAGCAATGGACATCAGTTTACATATTTCATTATTATTAACTTCAAACACATTTAGAACCAAGTCATCAGTTGCAGTAAGTGCCTGTCTAAGTGAAGATATTGATTGTACAGTACTTTAGATTGCAGGAAGTGGTGAAGAGTATTCTTCAAATAGTTCATCATCCTTTAGACCATTTGGTTCATCATTAACTGTAGCCTGATTGATAATTTCTTCAAGATGGAGTCTCATTTGTTATTAATTGGTTATCAATGGATGTGCATCATTTTTATCGATATATTAAACGGGATTTTTTTCAATTTAAAAGGCACAAGAGGCCAGAAAGCGCATTATGCGGGATAATGTATAAAACGGTAGTATATAGAGAATATTTTTTGAAAATATCTACAGGTACCTGGGACTAGAAAAATTCACATAAATAATAAATATTTTGAAATAAAGTGTATACAAGGTGATCAATATATCTTAAGACACTCATTATATTGGAAAGTATTAACTCTAAACGAAATTTAAGAATCAAGCAGCTCTACGATTTCATTTTTATGTTATTTTTTGTCTATGTAGAAATATTTAAATATTTAAAAACATACGAGTTATTTAACGGAAATAAATGAACTGGATACACGAACAACTAAAAAATTAACTTGAAATTTAAATAATTACCATACATTACACATAATTTTCTAAAATAAATACTTGATACTAGTATTATTATTTAATATACTGTTCTATATTATTTGCCATTTTTTTTCTTAAAATATATTAAATCATTAAACTAAACTCGAAAATTAAAATCTATCGTAAGACACTCATTATTCTGTGAAGTATGGACTTCTTTACGGAATTTAAAAAACCAGCCATACAATTTTACTTTCACGTTATTTTTGTGGTAAAACCACTATATACTTTTGATTTTCAAAATGACAACCTATATTAAAAATTTCATAAACAGGCGGAATAATAATTAAAATACATTTTGTAATTATCCATTAATCCGTTGAAGAGATATTCCATTTTTAAGCTTTGGGAAAGTAGTGAAGCGTCATTTGTGTGGTAACATTATAATAATGTACCACTACTCTCCCCCGACCTAAACTCAAAAGTGGAATATCATGTCATTATATGTCACAGAAATCATCAATTTCAACACCAAAATTTATTTTAACAAATACTCAATCTGTTTATGGAATATTTGATTTAGATTGCCATTATAAAATCAAAATAAGTAGTAGTTTTACACTCCATAAAAACATACATGTAAAATTGTAGAGCTGCTTGTATATATATATATAATATATATGTTTGTATACAGACATATTTAAATATTTAAAAACGTACATAAAATCAACTATACCATATTATAACATATACTTAATCAATTATTTTGCAATCTCTTAGAAAAAAAAAACCTTTTTACCTACTGGTTCATTTACTAAAATATTATAAACACTTCTCTGGGAAAACATGTTATAAATATATATGTATAATACATGTATTACTTATAAAAAAAAAAACAATGCAGTTTAAATAGAAAAATTAGGTATTAAAAACTCATTTTGCTAACTTTATTAACAAATATAGCATATAGTATATAAATAAACATTATAAATTGGGAGTATGGAGTAGATTTTGCTTAAATTAAAATGTTTTTATGGTGGTAAAATCTGTGTACTGTATAGTCTTAAATAAGTCAAAGAATATAAAATATAATGATATATTTTATAAATTAACTTAAATGTTGACATTAGTAATATAAATATTAACTATAGAATATTAATTACATTTTTACTAAAAAATTGAATAAAGAATTTGTTTAAAATATGTACAATAGTTTAAAATAATAATATTTAGATACTTTAATACATGAATTAATTTTACAATATGTTTTGATTTTTAATATAATATATACAACCATAGTTAAATGAGTTATTTAACAGAAATAAATGACCATTTCATTGGACATATGAACAGCAAAAATTTACTTGAAACTCAAATAATTAACATACATTACACATTATTTGCTAAATTGAGTACTTAATTCTCGTATTTTTATTTAATAAATTGTTCTTTTGATATATTTTCCTTTTTTTTTTTATATGTTAGGCAGCAGTATGACTTGCAATGTATATTTCATATGTTCTATTAAATACTCATTGGAAATACACAAATACTATTTAAAGAAAAGATTAAAGAATATAGCAAATTATTAGACTAAACTCAAAAAGTAAAATGTATTCCAACTTTGAATCCGTTTAAAAATTTAAATATTGTTTTCAGTGTTCAGATTTATCTAATAATAATTATTGTTCTACTATATCAATAATTATCAGTAAACTTTAATAGTACAGACTATGTTTTAAATTTAAAAATCATTGCTGTTGGATTTAGTACACTCAATATTATTTTTGCAGTTCAAATGCTTTGTCTATGTGTCTGTACATAATATAAAACAATAATTTACATCCTGATAATCTTATATATTTTCTTATCAGTTTTTTTTTTTTTTTTTTATTATTTATTATATTTTATAAGTTTTGTTCAATAACCCGTTATTTTTCTTATCACGTATATATTTTCACACACATACACAAAATATAAATATTTAAAAATAATACGAGATAAAACAATAAATAAGAACTTGATTTGAATGCATACACAATTATAATAATATATTATTAACAGTTAAATACATTAAATTGGAAATCACAAAAAAAAAAAAAACACATTATTTAAAAAAAAGATAATACAATTTGTTTGTATACAATATTAGTCTATGGACTATCAACAACACTTTATTATTGACGATTACAAAATATTATCATTTATCATTATCAGTTACCTAGTAACCACTGTTTAACCGCTGTGGTAACACAAATTAATATAGTTCTCTTCAGACACAGAACGCTCAATACACCTTAGTACAAGGTTTAGGGATCCATAACTTTATTATCTTTGGCTGAATTATTCATAGACCTTAAGGTGCCTACACAGCTCACAGTAAAACGTGATAATTTAAAATCTGTTCATCATATGATTGATTTCAATTCAAAATAGTTGAACCATTACCATTAACCGTGGTGAACACATGGTTCGACTAGGATAGAATTAGACTTTCCGGTATAAGCGGTATAGGGAAGGTATCAAAAATGATGATTGACCAATGGTTAACTACTACATAATAACTACTTGGTTCAACCAATTAGTCTTAGAATATTTCTCGTTTCACGGTAAGCTGAGAAGGCACCTTTATACTAGGTATAAGTGAGTGCCAATTCAGAGTCCATTTTTTGGTGGAGCACTTTTTCTGAAAGGAAATCTGCCTGGGGTGGTACTTTCAGGAGGTAATTTTTTTATGATTTTCCCACCTTTTTTCATAAACTACTTTTTGAAAAGTGAAACCATTTTATTATGATAACCGCGATAAATTTTCGGAGGAAAATTTTGGTCGCGGTCCTAGGAAGATTGAGAATCACTATAAGTATATAGTATAATTAAGGCACTATGAAAGTCTATATCTATAGTGCTCTAGTATAATGTAGTGTACTATGGTATAATGTATATGGAATAATCGAAGGTAAGGTTACCTAATACCTAGGTAGATACCTACTGTAATACCTATCTAAATCATAGACATGTTAATAAATAGGAAGTGTATTTTTTTTTTCATGTTGGCCTTGCTGTGTTGTCGTCTGCTATTTGAATAAACATGCCGAATAAAACAAAGCAAAAATACCAAAACGTAACGATAGATTCACAATACCGTGTAAAAAATTGACAAATTAGAACGACTTTTTTTTAATTACAACTAAACTAGAACTCGATTTTTTTTAACAATCTACAAACAAACCAATCGAGTTTTGAACGTATACTATAAAGCCGACGAATGTATGACGTGTAATAATATTAAACACTATAGAGTACTATCGCAGTAAATACACGAATATTGTTATAAAAACCTAACGCGACACTGTTCACTCAATGGGTTTTACAAAAAAACTTCGGGCAACGAACGGCTTACCTAACAGTTACTACGGCAGTACGGCGCGAGTGACGAATCGACGAAAATACGATACACAAAACTGTTGTCGGTAAATCGCAGCGCTCCCGCCAATAATATTATTTAACGTTGAGTCACCGGTAGCCGGGCGTTAGATTCAGCTACCATGGTCGTGGTATGCTATTTCATAACCTCATAGCAACAGCTGGTGTTCCAGCCAAACAGACGGTTGTGTTATTATTGTTTTTTTTTTTCCTAATCATCAGACATCAATTTTTCCTCTACTCATGCGCACCGATTAGCCAAAGTGTACATTTTTTTTTATAATTTTTCCGGTCTCTCGTACCCTACGGTCTGCATAATATTTCGTTCTCCGCACCGACAACGAACCTTCCCGTGACATACGGTACCGTCTCGTTAGTCCATCCGTTTCGTTTTTACCGTATATCCACTTGACGTTATAGTTCGCGAGCTCGCGTCTGTGTTGTGCGTTTATTTGTGTGTGTGTGTGTGTGTGTTTGTGTGCGCGCGCGCGCTTGTGTGTGTGTGTGTGTGTGTGTGTGTACGCGCGTGTAAGCGCTTATGTCTACTCTTGTCGCTTAGCAGCATTTCTACAGTAAGTTGTAGGTTGTAGCAGTAGCAGCTTGCAACAGCAACAACCGTCATTGACGCCAGCCAAGCAACGGCCGAATTGTTCACAGATTTCACCCAAAACACTTTGGTCATGTCATCGAAAATTGAACAGATTCTGCTTATCGAGCCTTCGCACGAGCTCAAATTCATAGGTTAGTGGCACTCGTGATAAACGCCAATTTGGGCGCATACATTTTTTAGATGTGGGCGTAGGTACCTATTTGGCGCATTCCGTTTACACATTGTACCATCCGACAGATTCTGAAATCGAAGTAGGAATTTGGCACTTGGTTTCCCTAGAATATTTACCATTATTCAAACTATTTGTCTCTATAGGTAATCATCATTTATATGGTACGATGACCCTCTTCAGTCATTTAGTCTTTACTATAAGTTGTTTATCTGTTTATCAGTGTTTCAACCCAGAATATTTTTCCGAAATGATTTTAATAATATTTATAATGTTTGGTGTACTAGGTATCTAGAGCAAATTACAAATATTAAATACTTTGTACTTTTATAATAGTTGAGATTTATGCATTTAAATGATTTCAATAGTTGTTTAGTATCTAGGTATTAAATTTAAAATTTGACTTACCTAGATACCTATTTAAAGATATAAAACCTCAATTTTATTAATTTTTCTTATACAATTCTATTAAAATTAATTTCATTAGATCTCTAAAATTAAATACAAATTGATATTAATTTTCGTAAAATATTTAATTAATGTACTGTTGCAAAATATTAACAAATGTTTAAAAGGGACCATTTTCTCGCTTCTGAATGTGATAATATTTACCATAAAAATCATTTTCATATATTTTAACATCCTATGAAAACACTTCTTAAACTAAGTTTGATATAAATACAATAAGCATTACTTAATGGTGGTGTGTAATAAATATTTTTCTTCTTGGAGTCTATCGGCCATTAAGACCTTTCCGTCGCACTTTCAATTTTCTAATCTTTATCAGCCGCTTGTGTTTTCCAATTTTGATCTAGGTCAGTTGATCCCCGCGAAAAACACGTAAGTGGATAATCGGCCCCCGGCCACATTATTGTTAACTACACATATGGTTTTATAGGTATATAGTTTATATTAACGTTTGAAAGTATTACTAATGGGTGGCTGTTTTTCTCATAAATCTCTATAATCTTTATTAGGAGCAGTAACATATCAGTGCCCAAGTGGTATAAATTGTAGATTTCATTTAAAAAATAAATATTTACATTTTATTTTTAGATAATATACCTAAACTTTCAATTGTGCATTAATAAATATATTCTGAATTGTACTCGAAGCCGATGATTAACTTAGTCAGTATATTTATAACAAATGTATCAATGTAGTTTTAAAATAAAACCATTTGATTAAAAAATATTACCATTTATTAATTTTTAATCAAGTATGTTATACCACTTTATTATTTTCATTTGAAAATCTATTCAAATAAAAATGTGATTGTAATCTATCTTAAAGTAATCTGATGTTTAGGTAAATGCTTTTTATCTGATTTTAGTATTGACCCTATTGTTATACAGACCAAAACTACATTTCAAAATAATATATTAATATTCAAAGTTGAAAGTTACAGGGTATGATGTACCACATATTACTATTTATAAGTATTACATAAGGATTTATATCCATATTACCAGTTACTATAAGTACTTGGTTAACGTAAATTATATACATAGTATGATCAATAGAGCCAAATATTTTGAAGAATCTGTTATTGCAATTATGGAACATAAATTCCCCATAATTAGGCACGCCTATATAAATGAAGTACTTAACCAAAAATGTTACTAAACAATTTTGATGTGTATTAATGTTAATTGATATTTATTAGTTATTATACTACATTTTCTTTAGTGAGATACACAAAAATATAGGTAAATCAAATTTTTATTACTTAGGTAGGTATTGAAATTATTTCGGTTTTATATTTAAATTAAGTACCTCCTAACTTATCACTAAACAAATAGGTGGGTACATTAAATGTTGTAGGAATTTGAAAGAGTATAATAATTATACTTATTATTGATAATATATACTACCTATAAACTAATTAGATAAAGATAATTTAAGATAAAATAAATATATATATATATATAATATTTTTTTAATGTATGGTTTCGTTATAAAATATTTGTAGGTAATATTTTGTTAACATTTTATACAATAAATTGTTGTTTTAAAAAATTTAATGAGTCATATTGTATAAGATATGGAATATTTTTTAATTGGTATTTATATTTTCTGAATATTATTGTACCCATATATGACCTCGGTTTAATTGGTATGACCAACATTCTTAACTAAAATAATATGTAAATTACAAGAAAAATTAATTATTTTATATTCTTTAGGTCCATTTACTGAACCCGTTCAGACTGTTATGACTTTGAAGAATCCAAGTGATAAAAAAATTGCCTTCAAAATAAAAACTACTGCACCAAAACGCTATTGTGTTAGGCCAAATTGTGGTGAACTTATTCCTAAAGAAAAGACAGAAATTTCAGGTATACATAATTTAATACTTGGAGGTATTGATTTGCATCCAGATTTTAAAGCGACAAATTTATTTAAGAATTATCAACTTTGTTTGTCTAATTGATATTACCTTCTAAGCTTATTTACTTTTTTTTTAATATTTTAAAGAACCTTTAAATGATTGTTTCCCAAATGATCTACTAACTTGTGTTTTGTTGGTGTGTGTTATAAATTTGTTATCCAGTAATATTGCAACCATTCGACTATGATGCCAATGAAAGAAATAAACACAAGTTTTTAGTACAGACAGTTGTTATCGACCCTGTTGCTGACTATGGAGAAGATGGCAAATATTTTCAGGTTAACTTACATGTCTCAATTGTTTATTTTGAAATAAATGTTCTTAAATAGCATCAAATTATATTGAACTATCCTATGATGAATGGACAAATATAATGACAATTCTCTAAATTAAATTATTTATTTTTGTTGGGTACATTTTCTTTTTGCTTATTTAGAAGATATGTTATATTTATTTTAAATATTTACTTATTCATTTAATTTTAGTGGAAGGACATTGAAAAAGATAGAATAATGGATTCGAAATTGAAATGCTCGTTTGAAATGCCTACAGTTGAACAGTTATTAGAATCTAAAAACATTCATGATGAAACAACTGTAATTATTTTTATCAATTCAATTAGACTATTATTTTAATGATTATTTTTGAATAGGCTGTATTAGAAACAAATGTCGAGACAGAATTACAAAAAGCAACTGCTGAACTTCAAGAATTACGTGAAGAAGAGAACTCCTTAAGACAGGCAAATACTGTATTGAGAGTGAGATATTACTAGTTAATTGTATTTATTTTTAAGTTCTTAAAATTAACTTAGAATTGTGTTAAAATGTAATATAGGAAGAAATATTGAAGCTTCAATTTAAAATTGATGACCAGCAATCTCAAAAACGCTCTGTTGGTGGTAGTCAACATTTGGATATGCAAAACAGAAATGCCAATATCACCCTGATGATTGGTTTGGCGATAGTAGTCGCCTTGTTGGGTATTATTGCTGGAAAATATGTATTTTAGTAAAATAATTTAATTTTACTTTATGGAAAAAAATAAAACATATAATTTTGGAAAATAAAAGTATAATATTAATTTATAAAAACTGAAAAGCAAAGAATTGTATTTAACATTTTTAATGCAAATTTGTTATGCATGTAGTCCTTTCTGGATAGTCCTATCTGTTTAGTTTCATAAAATAAAAACCTATGTATATTATACATTAAGTTGCCATCTATGATTAATCCTACTCATATTTATGCGCATATTAATTCGGGAATTTATAAAAAAAAAAAAAAAAAAAAAAAAAATTATGCACAGATCAACTAGCTTATAAGCCCATTATGGTTCAGGTTTTAGTTAAAGGTTATTGGTTATTGTTTTTTTTTTCTGTAAAATTTATTTTAATTTTTCTTTTAATTTATATGAATTTTTAAAACTGGTGGTTTATATCTGCCAACAGCTTAATATATTGGAACACTGTTATCCTATCTTTCTATCTTTTTCTAATAGACTAATATTGTATACAAACAAAATTTATTATCTTTTTTCTAAAATAATGTGTTTTTTCTGTCAGTTCCAATTAATTGTATTTAATTATTAATAATATATTACTATTGTATGTATTAATATCAAGTTCTTATTTATTGGTTTTTCTCTTATTAATTTTAAATATATATATATATTTTTTTTTGTGTGTGAAAATATATACATAATAAGAAAAATAATGTGTTGTTAAGGAAAACCTATGAAATATAATAAATAATTAAAAACATGATCAGAAAATGTTTAAAATTATCAGGATGTAAATAATTGACTTCAATTATATACAAACGCAGTGTCTAGAACACATGGATAAAACATTTGAACTGCAAAAATAATATTGAGTGTACTAAATCCAACAGTAATGATTTTTAAATTTAAAACATAGTCTGTACTATTAAAGTTTACTGATAATTATTGATATGGTAGAACAATAATTATTATTAGATAAATCTGAACACTGAAAACAATATTTAAATTTTTAAACGGATTCAAAGTTGGAATACATTTTACTTTTTGAGTTTAGTCTAATAATTTATTATATTCTTTAATCTTTTCTTTAAATAGTATTTGTGTATTTCCAATGAGTATTTAATAGAACATATGAAATATACATTGCAAGTCATACTGCTGCCTAACATATAAAAAAAAAAAGGAAAATATATCAAAAGAACAATTTATTAAATAAAAATACGAGAATTAAGTACTCAATTTAGCAAATAATGTGTAATGTATGTTAATTATTTGAGTTTCAAGTAAATTTTTGCTGTTCATATGTCCAATGAAATGGTCATTTATTTCTGTTAAATAACTCATTTAACTATGGTTGTATATATTATATTAAAAATCAAAACATATTGTAAAATTAATTCATGTATTAAAGTATCTAAATATTATTATTTTAAACTATTGTACATATTTTAAACAAATTCTTTATTCAATTTTTTAGTAAAAATGTAATTAATATTCTATAGTTAATATTTATATTACTAATGTCAACATTTAAGTTAATTTATAAAATATATCATTATATTTTATNCTGCATTGTTTTTTTTTTTATAAGTAATACATGTATTATACATATATATTTATAACATGTTTTCCCAGAGAAGTGTTTATAATATTTTAGTAAATGAACCAGTAGGTAAAAAGGTTTTTTTTTTCTAAGAGATTACAAAATAATTGATTAAGTATATGTTATAATATGGTATAGTTGATTTTATGTACGTTTTTAAATATTTAAATATGTCTGTATACAAACATATATATTATATATATATATACAAGCAGCTCTACAATTTTACATGTATGTTTTTATGGAGTGTAAAACTACTACTTATTTTGATTTTATAATGGCAATCTAAATCAAATATTCCATAAACAGATTGAGTATTTGTTAAAATAAATTTTGGTGTTGAAATTGATGATTTCTGTGACATGATATTCCACTTTTGAGTTTAGGTCGGGGGAGAGTAGTGGTACATTATTATAATGTTACCACACAAATGACGCTTCACTACTTTCCCAAAGCTTAAAAATGGAATATCTCTTCAACGGATTAATGGATAATTACAAAATTTATTTTAATTATTATTCCGCCTGTTAATGAAATTTTGAAAATCAAAAGTGTGTAGTGGTTTTACCACAAAAATAACGTGAAAGTAAAATTGTATGGCTGGTTTTTTAAATTCCGTAAAGAAGTCCATACTTCACAGAATAATGAGTGTCTTACGATAAATTGATCACCTTGTATACGCTTGATTTCAAAATATTGATTATTTATATTTATATTATTATTTATTCAAACATATTTTACTAAATCTTACATTTTTAAAAATTTAAATTGGTTTTAAATTTAACACTGAGTTTTATTTTTTTTCACAATTTTAAAATAAGTACTGAATTTATGGAGTTAGAAAACTAAAAACTGTATCAGGAAATTTAATCAACAATCAAACATTTTTCATAATTATTATTGGAAAAAAGTAAGAATAGGCGAATGTTACAATAATAATAGTTTTGCTATTTTCGATTTTAATTTTTGTAAATCATTTAAAATTATTGCAGAGAGCTTCAATTTTCACCAAATACTTATATTAACTGTTTCTAAGCGTTTCGCAATCTTCAAAATATTTTTGTGATTTTTGATTTTAAACTATATTTTTTTAAGTATAGAAAAACCTCGTTCAGATGTTCCCACATAATGCGTTTATTTTTTCCATTTCTGGATACCTGTAGGTATTTTAAAAAACACGCCTAGTAAGCTATTGTTTTAAACATTATCCCATCACATAATGGGTTCTTTTTTCTGGCTTTTCGTGCCATTTAAATTGAAAAACTCCCATTTAATGAACCAATAAAAATGATGTATATCCATTGACAACCAATTGATAACAAATGAGACTTTCCATCTTGAAGAAATTATCAATCAGGCTACAGTTAATGATGAACCAGATGGTACAAAGGATGATGAATTAATGGAATGATACTCTCCACCACTTTACTCGCAAGTACTGCACAACCAATATCTTCATTGAGACAGACACTTACTTATTGTAACTGATGACTTGGTTGTAAATTTGTATGAAATTAATATTAATAAAATATGTATAATTGTATACTGGTGTCTTTATTTGATTTGTTATTATCAGGATTCGGGACTTATAGCACTTGAAATTCACAAAAAAAGCACATAAAAACGTCAAAAAATCCTTGAAAAAAAGCACTTTAAGAAAATATTATTAAACCAAATGGTAGAAAGTTTAAATATTCCCTGTTTAACGTCGTTAAATTATTTAATTTAATTTTCTAACACGACATAAATTATTATCAAAAATGTATTTTGCTTAAATAAAATTGTACATATTATAAAATAAAATAACTGTGTTAATAATTTGTGTAGCGTTAGAAGATTGTACTTAATAAGCTAAAGCTGTTAGAGGGAGGTCATTTAAACTCTTCTACTATTAGGTCTCATAAGTCTTTTTTATGTTTTTATGTGCTTTTTTGTGAAATTTAAGTGCTATAAGTCCCAAACCCTGGTTATTATATAATAAATAATGTGTAACACTATGAAATCTTGTTCTAATTTATTCTGTCTAGTATCAAAAGAACTATTTTAGATTCCGAACGGAATGAGGAACATATTGGTTTTACAATGATGTTTATTGCGAACAATTTTTCTACCACCAATTTTGATCTGATTTTTGATTGTAGACATTTTTCTGAAAGGAAATCTGACTTGGGCCTCTACAGAATACTAAGCTGATGGGTAGGCTACAGTTTTAAGCATAACTTCAGAATAGGAGAAGTTTGGAAGGTAGGATGTGTAAGGTAATTTTAATTTATAACTATTTACAGTTTTATTCACAAGAAAATCAAATAAAAACTACTATTTCAAATGGTTATAAATAGTTTAAAAATCATCTGTGTTTTAAAAATGTTACCATTTTGGGTTTATATAAGAATTCTGCGCACATTTTTGATTATTTTTACATTTATAAAAAATGACTATAAAATTGAAAATAACGGAAACGATTATTGCATACTTTTTCTCAATTCTCTTCAATTATTAATACAATAACAAGAAAAATCAAAAAACATATATTCGATCAACTAGACAACATTTTAAATTGAGATAGATGCTACACTTGATAATTGGAACAAGATTTCTGGTTGAAAAGTTGTTAACAGACAGAAAATAAAAGAATAAATCATATAGGTAGTATAATAAAATATATATTCTGCACTTCGCTCAGTATATAAAAGCAAATTTAATTAAATACTACTGAAATTTTTTTAAAAATATATACGATAAAATATAATAATAAATTATAAAATAATAAGGAATTGATACTTCAACAAAAATTACTAGGTTTATTAATTGTGAACGGCATAATATAAATAACTAAATCGTAACTTAAATTTTTAGCCTATTTATATAAATGATTATTTAATGCTAATATGAGTTTTAAATTTCAAAATAAGTTTAGGGAATAAATTTGTAATTTGCCGCAAATGTTTATTTTTAGTTTTAATTATAATTTATAGTATAGGGTATACTATACTCATTTTCGTATTTAGGTACTTAAAAAAATAAAGGTATTTTCAATAATATTACCATTAGGTCAAGTCGTCAAGATGATAATTAGCATTATAAAAAATTGATATCTTATAAACTGTCAATGGGTATGTTTAGTAAAAAAAAAAAAAACACTTTGTATAAAATTATAAAACCCGACCAAGTAGCGAATAATATTGTACACTTTGTGTATATCTTTTGTTATTTTTAAATATAAAACACGTGTACAGTGTGCTAGCATACTTAAATAAAATAATTATTTATAGTATACTTTCTCCACGGGTTCTCTAGACTACTAATAAGCTTGCACAGGAGTCCATAAATAAAATTTAAGTGTACGGATCCAAAACTTTGTTCGGAATAAAAAAACAAAATTAAATTAGTGAGTTTATATTGGCCTTACGCTACTGTGCATTTTATTTCAGTGAAATATTATTTTGACGTATATACCTACTTACCTAAAAAATTATTAAGTAGATATTGTTAGCTGTTAGCTATTAGTTACAAATATCTACCTTGTTTGTAAATATAAATATTTATTCTTCTGTCTACATATTTTCTTTTGGTTAATTTATTCTATACAGATAACTAGGTTCTTCATATTAGATTCTGAATGTAATGAAGAAGCTTATGGTTTTACAAAGATATTTATTTGTGCACAACTTTTTTTTACCAAAAATCTTGTTCCGATTTCGTATAACACTTTTTCTAAAACAAAATTTGACTGGTGAAGTACCTTAAAGAGGTCATTTTTCGATTTTCCTAGGAGTTTTTTTAGCAAATGTGAAAAACTGAAAAAAAAAACAGGATAATGTACAAAAAGTAGATATTGGTTAAAAATATTACAGCTTTTTTTCCTGTAAACAACTTTTCTGCACAGAAATTTTGCTCTGATTTACAACGATAGCACTTTTTCTTAAAGGATATCTGACAGAGAAGGTATTTTAGGGAGGTCATTTTTTGATTTTCTCAGGATTTTTCTTAACAAATATTATTAGTATATAATGCCCATGCAATTATTTTACTATAATATGGCATATATATTGTTGAAAAAGCATCACTATCAACTTAACTCTGTTCAGAATCGTTTTTTCATTAGCAATGGTTTATTGTTGCTTATTGGTGTACATTAAATTACCTATAATAGTGGCTGCACCCGTCCCCATTATCCTAGTACAGTTTTTTAGGTATATTTTCATGTATAATATTGATCATTATTAAACAGACTGTATATTGTGTTTTAAAATTTTATTTACTTTCCTAAATTAAATAAATTCATTGATGAATGGTTGTAGGCTTGTAAATGTCTAGAGGTTCCTATGTATGTAGAGTTTTAGATTCTGAGTGGAGAAAAGAAGCTTCTGGTTTTACAAAAAATGTTTATTATTATTTATTTTAGAAATAAATATACCATAATAAATTTACCAATTAAATTGGAATTTAGTAGTGTATCTGTATATATTACTAAACTGGGCAAGTTAACCATTTTTTTCAATTTTTTTTAAGTTAAGTTATCCTAAAAATTAAAAAACTAAAAAAGAACCAAGCGAATACAAATAGATAAATAATAATAAAATACATACCGTAACTAAGTAATAGTTACTTTACTCAAAAATATACTGTCACATTAACAATAATGATTAGAAGATTCTAATCTGATAAAATCGAACATACCAAAATATTGAACATATTATCAAGTATATAGTAAATAATATTTACTAAATACTACAAAGCATAATCAATTATTATTTAATCTATTTTTAAATTATACAAATTTCCCAATGAGAATATTAAATATTATAGCTAAATTGATACTGATAAGTTCATCATTATTAACAAAGCACGCTGAAGAACTCTTATTTTTATTTATGAACTCTAAATTAATTTAAAAATAAAATTGTATATTTATTTATTTACATATATTCATAGTATGTATACAAAAATTAATTGTGGATTAAATTTAAAATGCTTCTAATATTTCTATATTATTTACTTCAGTTTTAAAAAACTCTGAACTCTTTAAATGTGTCAACCAAATATCACATGCCTCCCCAATGATACAGTAGTCTTTTTGAACTTGATCAATGAAATAGCATTTTAGATTTAGGAACGTAGCGAGGAATGTATTGGTTTTACAATAATGTTTATTATTATTATTATTATTATTTTTGATGTTCTGTGAGTACTTTTTCTCTTAGAAATCTTACTCAAAAGTATCAAACATAGACCCTTTATTAAATAAATAATAGAATTATATTCGATATTATCATTTGATTAATATTAAACAACAATAGAAGAAATTAAAATAGTTAAAACATTAAAAAAAATAATATATTTTTACTGAAATAACAAAAATAGAGAATAACTGTTTTAACTGATAATACCAAAATATTATAATGATATATACAATATTCTCGGTATTTTCGATATACCAGCTCATACCGGTATATAATATATTGAAATGAATAAATATATAAAAAAAATAGTCACCCCTAGTTGTCACTTGTTTAAAGATATATTTATTACAATATTAATAGAACTATCCATCAGTATTGTTTTTCTTTGATAAAAATAATTTGTATTTCACAAACATTAGACTATTTTCAAAATAATGGACAATGATATTAAATAATAAAATAAAATAATTATTTTATATCCTTACAATGTATCAAAAAATCTAAAGTTATATGTATAACACATAAAGCATACAATCATTTATGTATGGATTAAGAACCATGTACATGAAACTGGTTTTAGCCTGTTTAGATATCATTTATAAAAAATTAAATAAGTCTACTTATAAATTAAATATATACACAAACAAAATGTAATGTTATTATTAGCATATTATTTTAAATTAATAGAATTAAATATTTACATAATTATTAAATGAAGTAAAAAATCATATTAATTGAACGGTAACATAAATAATATTTTTAAGTAAAAAAGAAATAACATTTTTATCATAATCACTAACTATAATAATTGTATTGTATGTTTTTCATTAGAGTGTAAAACATTCTGTACTGCAGTTAATAGCATTATATACAAATGAGTTGTTGACTGGTTTGTATTGCTGTGTGATAAGTTTTATTATCTCATGGGATACACAACCACCTGCAAATTAAATTAATGTATACTTATTGTATTTAAATATTAAAAATATCTTACCAATAAACGATGATACACTATGTAACTCAGAATTGCCATAACGACAGTATTCATGAATACAATCTTCTTTTGTTGAAGACATACAACCCCATTCATTTAACAATTTTGATATACATGACTAAAATATGTTAAAAAAAGTAGTACTAAAGAACATATAAAGGTCTTATTTTATATAACAATCGTACATACTGTACGAGTATATACCTTTAGTTTTGGAATATCGGGTTCTACTTGTTCATCAATTTCACCTGGGTATGTGTAATATTCTGAATAAAATCTCTCGATTCCACGCAAAATAACATAATGTTCAATCAAACTATCTGGATCTTCAAGACTTTGACCTAAATTACAATTAATGGTAAACCATAAATCAAACAATTATAAATATATCCAATTCATTTTAAATTAATTCATTATTACTTCACTCACATATTTCATTGTCAGTATTTCCTTTATGTTCATATTCATCAGCTATTCGTGTACCTCTAATGACACATAATTCAGAAGCATGTTTACAAAATACTTTAACATCATGTTCACTGATTGTATCATCTGGAAGGTTTAAGTTCTGAAGGAGCTGTTGAACACGATTATAAACTATTTCCACATCTTTGATGGCTTGCTCATGATATCTGAAAATAATTATTTACATATATTGTTACAGTTCATAAAACAAATTAATGTTTAACTATATAAACTTACAACTGCTGTAAACTTATGTACTTAAAGGTGTCAGCTGTCATATCTGGTAATGTTCCACGTAGTGGGAGTCGGCCGCATCCTTCATTTTCCACAAAATCTTTAAGTGCTTTCACCATTATCCAAAATGGTCGACTCTAAATAAGTTTATAGTTAAATAATATTGTTGTAGATTTTAAAAATATATTTTACTTACATAGGATGTTAAATTTAACAATTTTTCATCTTTAAATATTCCCTGTATATCGGTTGGCAACAATGTTCGATTATATGCAAAATTGACTGATCTAATAGCTTCTTCAAAATTCTCTTCATGATGCAAAGTACCATTATCATGTTTTCTTATACCTAAAGTATATTTTATTCATTAGATTTTAAAACAAAGAATTTTAAATAGTTTAAGTGATATTTTAATTCCATCAACATTTAATCAAATTATATAGAAAGTGTATTATCCTTATATATATATAAAAGAACATGGCTTTTTTATGTTCCATGTTTCTGATGACACTAGCTTATCATATTACCCTATATTTTTTTTCCAATTGTTGGTCAGGGGGAGTAGGAGCTCCAATGTATTTAGATGTTCTATAAGTTTCTGACACATTTGAAATTTTTAGTAATTTTTTTTTAAAAGCTGTCAAGATGAACTTTATATTATTAGAAACTTTAGTAATCTGTAATCCATTTTTATGTTTGAAATATACTTATGTTTATTATACGTGAGAAATGTACATGTGTGATAAATCCTTATCTTTATTTATTATAGTGAAATTATTCCAAATACTGGATTTTATATGCATGAGAAATGTGTTAATACAATTAATTAAATTAAATATATTAGGTACTTTTTACATTTTTGTTCAAAGCTGCGTAAAGGCAAAGCTGGGTAATACAGCTAGTTATCTATATTGTATTTATTATAAAATTAAATTCATGGAGATAGTTTAGAAAAAATTCAGTCAAAACAAATAAATAGTTTCAATGACTAATTATAAAAATATATATACATGGGTATATATCACTAAACAGTAAACATTAATTATTATAATACATTTTGCTTAATTTTAGGTTTAATCTCGAAATTGATTAATTATAATTGCATTAAATACTTTTGAAAAAATTTAAACACTAACTGTTTTTTATGTTTTGTCGAATAATTTGTTTATCCTTATACGTCTCTGGCAATGCATTGTTGTCGTCTATATTTTTACGCCATTTTTCTAAATGTTTATATAATATTACTAGATAAGGAACATGCAAATGGTTTGTAAGATCAAGAGCTTCTAGATCATAACTATCAAAATGATCTTTGAGTGCTTGAAATGGACAATCTAATCGTAGATCAGGATTTTGATTGTCAGGGTGAGTTTTGATCATAGTATGTTCAGCTAGTTGTAGTCTCATAGAACCAAAAAATCCAAAACTTTGACATACTAACAGTGGAATATTGAACTCCCATAGTTTATGAGACAATTCAATTATTTCTCTAGAAAAAAAAAAGTATAATATTTTGCTTGATCTCTATATATATTTATCTATTTATTTATTTATTAGATTTTTACTTTTCATGTAGAGATGCAGTGACAACTACAGTAAATTTATTAAACATGATTGGATTTAGATCTAGTAATTTTAGTAAAGATTCATCAACAAAGTGACCTCTTGTATCTGGATTAAGCTCACAAAGTAGTTGTGAAGCCACTGATCCTCTTTTTTCTCCTATTCTATCAGCAGTAAGGAAGAAACTAGAAAAATTTAGTAATCAACATTTTAACCTAATAATATTAATTTTATAACTAAAATACTTACTTTGAACCTACATCATCTTCAGTTATAATTTCAGTGTCGATTATAGTAAATGCGCCAATACCAGGTAAGACTAATGATTTTAATATTTCTGTTCCTAATGCAGTAGCATTAATTAAACATACATGCGCTGTTTCTAAATCTTGCTGACCTTGATCACCCCATAGTCTAAAATTAAATTTGTTGAATTATTAAAATATCTATCCTTTTTCTTAAAAATAGTATATACGATAGAAAAAAAAAACTATTTTTTATTATACAATTTATCAAAATGATAATACACCCAATTTGCCTTGTATATGTTATTAATATATTAAATTGTATTTATTAAGCATAGGTAGTAATGGTAGTATAAACTATAAATCAAGTTTATAACTTCACAAGAAGTATTTATAAAGAGCAAATTCAGTATTTCCTATATAGTAGATATACTTATAACTATTAAAGTTAGAAGTTTAAACTTATAATATCAACTAGGTAGTTTAAATAATACAATTTTAAGATAATTACTTTTTAAACTGTTATGTATCTACCTAGTTAATAATAAAAATTACCTGAGTTGTCGATCATATTTACGACTTCGTTCAGATGGTTCTGGCGATTTAGGCGATGGAACAGCCATCCTCAATTTAAAAAACAAGTACTAAATTAAGAGTACTAGATAGTAAGAGATATTAATTACTTTTTTTTATATTTAATAAACTGTTTTTTATTATTTATTAAACCTGTAAGAATAGCAATGCAATAAGAAATTTAAAAAACAACCATTTATCAATATCAATTTATAAATTGATAAAAAATATAAAATATATTATGTATGTTTATGATAAAAAAAAATTACAAATATATTTGAGGTTATATTTATACCAATTTTTTATGATAACAATAAAAATATTGGAAATTTAAAAAAAAATTCACTCTTTAAATTATAGAATTCTATGATTAATTTAAAAGAGTAATCTTCTATCTGAGGAAATTAACGTGTCAACGAAGGTACCAAAATTGTAAAACTTTAAATTCACCAAGTATATGGTTCTTATCATTGAATATATTGTTGATAACGTGCTGGTTTGTCTTCTGTGGTCGGTGATGGAAGGGTGTCCAGGGGCCAGTGACGAGTATTTTTTGTCCACAATCGTATCCGAAATTTCGTGGTCATTTTCACGTGAGGAGTTCAACACCTGCTACCATAAAGACGACCATATTTATGGTAAATATCATTAATGCGTTATACATTTCATCTTGTTTACTAAGGTTTCAGTCGATACGTTAAATTAAAAATAACACAGTTACGTCATCGACCAATTAAATTGAGTACTAAATGTCGGAGCGCATGTTCAACTAAAAACGAGTTGCTTGTTCATTTTTGTCCATCTGCAGATGTGGTGTCTTGGTTCGATTGTCTTGACTTTGAATTCTTTCGCACATGTATTACAAGTGCAATGTACTTGGATGAGCACTGTTAGTGAGTACATGTATAACCTCAAACATAGGTTTCCTATTCCTACTCGAACAGTAGAAATTAATTAAAAATGTAATATATACTTATTCAAATTTTAACAGAATCTATATTGGGAAGTATTTTTACATTTTTTTTCAAAATAATTTTTGTTACTTAAAATATAATCTTCTTAAAACCCATATTGTTGTTTAAGTGTTTTCATAATATGGTAAACCTAGGTATGTGTATTCTATATAAATATATCTCTTAAAATGAAAAATAATAACAGGTTTATATTTTTTTTTAACTGAGCATCTAAAGTTCACCTTAATATATCAAGTTGGATTCGTCCTAATGATTAACATGAAGAAGTGGTGGGGCAAATGCAATTTTGATAATACTTACAATGTAATAAGACAAATTTATATTTTCACTTAGTTAATCTAAATGAGTCATCATTTAATAGAAATAAATTCATGACCTGTTATTATTTTGTTTACCTATACTACTTTTTTGACCTACAAAATGTATGGACGTTAAATATTTTTAAATTAAAATATTTTGTTTGATATATATATATGTATATAGGTCAATATCTACTCCTCTATTATACATTTTTTTTTTGTTAAAACAAATATGCCACTGATTTTTTATTTGATTTTTTTTATATAATACCTATTATGTAAGTATTAATTTATGTATCGAGATGGTTTATATTCAGTAGATTTGAAATCATGTAACTGCAATAATAAACAGTAATTATTGTACAATATTTTATATATATTTTTTAACTATCATACTTATATTTACATTGAGAAAATAATATTTCTTTTAAGGGCTTTATTTTTTTGGTCAGTCTTAGTTTAGTTATTTTTAAATGTAAATTCTACAGATGTTAAAGAATTCTAATTTAAGATATCTATTTCAATCGTATAATCATTAAAATATACCTATTGTTTAAATATGCGTTTTAAGTTTATTTATTCAAAATAGATAGATACTTTTATCTATCAGATTAATAAAACAATTTTATACCTATATATTTTTAAAAATATCTCTTGCCATTTTATTGGGAGGTGTACCTTAATATTGGATAATTGGACATTTTTTTAATGACCTATCACTATTGTCTTTTAATTTTACTATTTAATAAAAGTTTAAATAGTTGATAAATAATAATGATGATTAAATTTAAAACAATTTTGTTTTCAAAAATCTAAGTACTATAGGTTATCAATTAACATTGCCTTTTTTTCTGAATTATTCATAAATTTTATTTCATATTTACAAAGCCATGCATACTTTTTGCTGTTTCCATCAAGTCTCCAAGTTTCTTGATTATTAGTAACTTCAATTCTCATCTTTCCTAGGCTTATTAAGTCCTTTTTCTGAGTCGGATCAAAAGTTCTAAATCGTATTACTGTCACAATTTTCATTGACCATACTTATTCTCTAATTATTGTCTTGTACATTATTATTTTTATTTTCTCAGACGGAACTTTGGATTTGAGGAATTTAGACAGTGCAAAAGATGCTTCCTTACCAATCATTAATTTTATTGAGCAGTACTCCTAAATATTGAAATTCTTCAACTTTTTCAAAACCTATTGATTCTAGGTTGTGTTGGTATAGTTCTCCATCAAGAAGCTTTATTATTTTGGTGTTTTCCACATAAATTTGTCAACCTTTGTTGCAGCCTTTTTGAGAGCCTTTTCGAGTTCAACCAACCTAAAGCTCCCTCTAGTGATTCACCACAGATATTCAGATCATCTGCTAAATCTAGAATTTGCACTCTGTGGTCATTGGCCACTATCCCATTTGCTTCACTTTGCATCATTCTCACTGCTTCTAGCATTAAATTAATAAGTATTGGTGATATTTTGACACTTTGTTTTATTAATTAGCTTTTTCTTTGCCCTCCATACATGGTCAGCCCACTCTAAACATTCATAAATATATTTCTTTAAGAAAAAGATAAAATCAAATTTATATTAAAATGTAATATTTTATAATTTTTTAGAATGGAAGGTGATCAATTAGATTTTGAAGACCCTTCTACATCCTGCATTGAAAAAATTGATTCTACCAGCCAAAGTCCAACTATGTGTCCTGTAGTATTGGAAGCAGCAGAACAAGAACTTATAGCAGAAGAATCTGCTCCAACCACCGATTCAGAGGAAATAGGTGTACCTAACATTGAAATTAACAATGTATTTAGCCTCCATTTAGTTGATAACACATGTACCGACCAGGATATTTACTCTGATGAGAGTCCCTTACCTGGTGATTGGGTCAATGATGATTGGGCTGATGAACCTAGTGAACATGTTGAAGATGCTTCAAATGCCAATGGAGTTATAGTAAGAGAGTTAACTATTTTATTAATATTTTGGGAAATAAGTATATATATATATATATATATATATTTTATAATACATTTGAAAAGTTATGTTATAGAAGTGCTGATTAAAAAAAAAAAGTAAAGGGTGTATTGAATTTATTATGAAATAATATTGTTTCATTTATATTAATATTGCTATGTATCGTAAGGTTGATTGTGTCCAACCTTACTTATTACTCGATAGAGTGCCAGAATAATGGGTGGAGATATACAAGGAATCAGCCTGTTTGACACTTGTATGTATCGCAACCAAACTGATAAATCAGTCATTTATATTTATAAGAACAAAATAACTTCAGTGATTACGAAGTAAATCACTAGAAAGATATGTTTCATTATAAAGTTACTACACAATTATAATTTAAAACACTTATAAAGCACAATTATAGGTTAATAACTGTATATTATAATTCAAAGTACTTGTTAGTGGATATAATAATATTTATGGTGATATATATATAAAAATGACAATAAAACATTGATATTTTTGAAACGTTGATGGTTTAGTTTCAATATTTTATGTTAAAGCTTTATTGATGTTTCAATTTCGATGTTTGCTTATTTTCAAGGGAATATCAATGTTGCTTGTCTTCATGATTATTCTTACATACAATTGGACAAATTATGATTCCAGAAGGCTGAATAGCTATAGTTTATATTTGTGGTTTGAGTGTTAGGTAATAGGACAGTGAGTGTCTTTTTAATGTACCCACGGTAAAGGGTAATTATTTACTCTGTATTTCTATTTGATATATCAATATATCAATATTTAGATATTAATTTTTAATTAAACTTGATATTCTTAACATTAATGGTTTGAAAGAGTTACATTAATGTTCTTAAAAAAATTGCCATCCTTCGATATGGCACTTTGAGAGCCAAGTCTTCACAAGTGATGACACTCTTTGTGTCTCTTTGTAGTGTCTGGAATTCTGTGACTTAGAAAAGTCTTATCTGGCCATATGTGCTCGTATCTATCACTATTCAATATTGTACTATGTGCATTATAGTTAAAATAATATTATAATATTTTACAATTTACTGATTTATAATTATTAATCTGTGGTTAGCCACAAAACCCTCCCTGCAAAACTTGAGTTTGTTCTCAACAAAGCCTTTTTATGCCACTCACATATTGGTTCGGGTACTTTCAGAATATAAATATGTTAGTAGTTACAATATTTTTGGGTTCATTTCATAATATGGATATTAATATTACATCATTTTACATAGTTCGAAACATAGCTAACTTAATAAACGAAAATAAAATAGTAATAACAAAATATTATGATTATCATACAAAGTTATATTTTTATTACACACGTTAACACATCAGATGATCAGACATCTAGGTCACCAATTACTAGTTAACAATACATTTTTAAACATAACAATTAGTGTGTATTTTTATAAATTCCTGTAATAAGAAATAGAAATATTTTAAATAAAATAATGACAATATAGCTAATAAGTATGCAGTTAATATAACATAATATATTAAAAATATAAATAAATTAAATAATATATAAAAACATTACAATATTTATATTGGTTTCGCTATTTATATAATATCATTGGTCTTTATTGTGTTTAGTGTACTCCTGTTTTTATTTATTAACCGCTAATAGGTAGGAAATAATTTGTGCTTATTTTCCATATTTTATATTATTAGGTAAATCTTCTTGATTTCTGTTCTTTAGCTATTAAATTTATATGGCCATAATCTCCCGGTCACATAATTTTTCTATTACTTCTTTATTCCTTATCCTGTTTCTATAGACTAGAATAGGCTTGTTCCTGTTATGTAGGTATTGAGTAATATAATGGATTTTTAAATTTGATTTAGGTTCATTTACACTTAAAATTAACTGTTTCTGTTTCAATATTGCCTACAGGGACTCAGTTTTTTTTTCAGAGATATTTCTTAAGGCCATTTTGCACTCTACTTTGTACTTTAATATACTAAGTTTTTTGTCTATTATGAGTCGTATTGGTCTACTTTAAGGGTTTCTTTGCTACTCGCCGTGTTCAGTCATAAGCCTGATATAAAGATCAAATCCTTCCTAAATATATTTTGTGAGAATTCAAATTTGACTATTACAAACTTGTATGAGTGAAAACCCACACCCCTTTGAAATAAACTATTGATTTAAGGAGGTTTAATGATAATGTTATGTATTTACACATAATATATTCCTATGACCTAATATTTACAATATAATATTTTGTTTGGTTCATAATACTTTTATCGAAATGTCTGGGGCGATATTGATGGTTTCGCTCCCCTCCCCCGTCTAGCGTTTACAAAATAATAATAATATGATCACGCCTGCTATCCCTACAAATGTCAATTTAATGTAGGTTATATTTTTATAAATAAATTTTAACATTGACAATTCCTTGTTATGATATTTTGCACCAGCAACCTGCTCTCTGCTTATCATGTGCAGATCATATGTGTTACCCCCTTTAAAGATTTAACCTTGGTTTTGAGTAGTGATTTTAGTTCGTTAATATTCTTGACTGTTTCAAATTCCGGTATACTACTTAGTACCTTGGTACATCAGATAATATATTTATCAATTTGGTACTTTTGACAAGTTTAGTATTGACACAACATAAATAACCTGTCCCCTTGTAAATAATGGGTATTCACTAGCCATAATGCATTTCCTTATACTCACAGAATTGTATCTGACATAGTTCTCAAAATGTTTATTTATAGAAACAAAATCGTAGGTAAACTCAACATATGCAAAATCACGGAAAACCGTTTTGGTGGGTAATTGAATAAGATGGTATAGCCTAAAATTACATCCATCTACTAAAGGTATTTGTATAAGAAAAATTAAAAATCGGTTCACACAACTAACTGTAAAACGTTTAATATTTTATAAACCTCTCTAAGGTTCAATGTAGCCGGAAAGGTATTTCTAAAAGTATGATTTTTAATTGATTCATAATATCCTGTGGTGACAAAATATCTTTCTATCCTCTATTTCATCTAATAATGGAGATCATGTAGTAGTTATATCCGTACAACGTGATATGTTGCCATCCTTGTTACATTATCACTCATATTCATAAGTATTTCATAAAAATTCCCTAATTCTAATATCCTATCATCGTAATTTGTTAGTCATAATATCCCAATTGGACACTTTCATTGGCCTTTCATTTTTGTAATATAGACCTAGCGAGTGGTGATCGGCTTAATATTGTGTAAGTTATCCACCCCTCCTACGCTCAACATTATTGCAGTTGCTATTATTAGTTGTAATAGCCTTAATAGGCTGGGGCTATACACGGCGCGGGGAAATTCGCCTAGTAAATTTCACTGTCATTGAAAACCTATAATATCAAGTGTAATAACTTTACGAACTAAATCACGGTGGTATTCGTTGCTGAGTGACGATTATTTTCAAAATTGCACAATCCGTAAAATCGCGGTACGGTCAATTTCAATTGATTTTAATGGTAACGGCTAGCTAATTTTGCATCAATTTTTAATATCATACGTTATTTTAATAGAATATTATTGTAAAATTGTAAATATCGTAAACATACCTATTATAATATTATTTATATTTATGGTGACCAGACGTACTCTTTTTCGTTGGACAGTACTTTTTTTTGATTGTTCTATGTTTTTAACAATAGTGTTAAGTACATAAAATTGAACTCATTTTTTGAAAATTATAAATAATAAATAAATAAATTTAATTATGTATATTTTAATTATACTTGTGTACTTTAAGTTGACAACTTAAAATTACTTAACTTTCAAAATATTTTCATCATAAAGACACAAACCAAAAGAGTTGTCATTATGATTTCAAATAATTAATTTTTATAGTTGATAATAGAAAAAATAATAATAAAGTAATCAGATGAAAAAAAAAATGTATAGAGATGGAGATATGCTATGGGCAAATTGAGTAGAATGATATAAACTTAATACACATTGGCTAATTCTTTCAAGAGAGAGGTTTTTTTTTACAATGGAGGACCTAAATTTTAAAATTACTTTTTTTTTGGATTTTTATATCTATAGTTTTTTTTAGTTTTTACCGACTTCGAAAAAGGTATAACTTGTATAAAATTGTATAACTGAATTATTATCATCTCGCATATCTTTCCGTCAACATGACTGATATTGACAATGTGAGACTCATTATGGAAATTAATTTGAAACCGTGTATTTGGGACACTTCAAGTGAAAAGTACAAAATTAGGGATAGAAAACTGTTAATTATATTAATATTTTCAAAACTGAAATCTAAATTATGGTATGAATATTTGGAAAATCGTGGCGAAAATATTGAACGAATCCGTCTAGTGAATTTGTTGTGTATAGCCGAATAGAATGATAGAACGCCGTGTATAGCTCCAGCCTAAATGAAAAATAAAATTGTATCCTTAAATATGTATACATTATTTTGGTGCAGTTTTATCTTTTGTCTTCCTCTTTGTAAAACCACGTTGTAGTCTTCATGTCTAATGCTGTGTAAGGACTCTCCCATAATAGCATTAATTTTTTTTTTCCCATGATCAATAACCAAAACCTTATCCCCTATGGCCTATATGTACATTTTGTATGCGCTGGTTTCTATCGTAATAGAACTTGGTTTTTCTTTTATTCGTGGTCTAGTTTTCTCTCTTTATTCCATTCGCAATTTGCCTTTTTTAATTTCATAATTCTCGTAAGTGTATCATGATTCCAGTTTCCTCTGGAAAACTGACGTCATACTAACCGGATTTCCATATATAGTAACTCATATGGCTAAAATCGCGTTCTTTCATGTATGGCTAAATTGAAAGAAAAAATTGTATAAGGAATATGCTTGCACCAATTTTATGCGTGGTGATCTACGTTATGACGCAACATTTATTTTATTTCTCAATGTGTTTTTAAACCCCCATTGGCTTGTGGATGATATGGACTCGATAACAGTTTTTTCATGCCCGAAATCTTATAAGTTCTTATAAAAATGTCGCTAACAAATTCTGACCCGTTGTTAGTTAAAATTGCTGCTGTCGGTAACCTACTGTGAATACACATGAAACGCTTTACAAAAGATTTGGCTATGGTATTTACCGTATGGTTTTCTAACGGAATTGCTAATAGGAACTTAGTTAAATCATCTTGTATTTGTTAATATTTACGAATTATTATGCTTATAAGATGTAGGAACTACTACATCGTGCGGCAGACCAAAACTGGTCGAGACTCACGCATGTTCGTCCCATTTCTGGCAGTTTCAGCCGCTGTCGGTCGCGCCACCAAGTATACATAGTGAGCTGTATTAACACAACACTTAACGGCCGTTCGTACGCGTTTATATATTAGTATATACAAAACAATCATGTTTTTAATGTAGCGTGTGACAGGTATAATAGAGTATGATACAGTAGATTATAGGAGGAGAATATATGTAGGTATATTTGTCAATAATTAAATTAATTCAATTCTATGTATATATGCCGGTGTCAATAGTAACCAGTCGATGGAGACCAATTATAGAACAATTATTCATTCTGTGGGAGTGGCATGTTGCTCCGCCGCCGATTAAGATGCGCGACGCGTGGTGTGTTGTCATTTGAAAAAAAAGACTGACATACTTTGTACGTGGGTGCAACCATTGTTGTAGGTGAGAAGTCGGCTAAGTAGTAGAGGGAAAAATTGAATGTATATCTGTAAGCAACGATAAGCCATTGCTAACGAAAAAACGATTCTGAGCAGTGAGTGAAGTTCAATTGATAGTATTGCTTTGGTATATTATAGTAAAATAATTAAATAGGCATTGTATATTTTCTTTAACAATATTTGTTTAATATTGTACCGGTTTTCCTACGTTTTTCTCATGTTTTTACTCTGTTTTTCTATTTATAAGGAAAATTCCTGGGAAAATCAAAAAATTTAACCTCTTAAAGTACCTTCCCAGTCAGATTTACTTTTAGTAAAACATTTTTCATTGTAAATCGAAGCAAAATTACTGGTAGAAAAGTTGTCCAAAAAAAAAAAAAGACCGTAATATTTTACTAATACATTTCGTAAATTTTCCCGTTTTACCTCAGTTTTTTTTTTTGTTTTGATTTTTCAAAATTATTGATTAAGAAAACTCCTAAGCAAATCGAAAAATGACTTCCCTAAAATACCTCTTTAGTCCGATTTCCTTCAGAAAAAATTTGAGCAAGATTTCTAGTTGAAAAGTTTGCACAACAAATCGAGCGGTATTTTTGGATTAAAATAGTCCGAGCGAGCGATAGCTGGGTCTCTAGGTACATCTAAAATGCATTTGTTTTTTCCCTGTTTAAGTAAAAGGGAAAACATTTTTTTTGAAACCTATGTTTGAACTCACGATCTCTAGAATGGCAATAGTTATCTATCACCATAAGACTACGACAGGCATACTTTAAAAAAAAAAAATAATAATAAAGCTATTTGACTTAAAATATAATAATCAGCTAATTGATTTTGAATTGCAGTTAGATTATAATTTTGATGGTGATGTGCCCGATAATTGAAATTCACTAAATTTACTTTTTTTATGCTTTATTTTCTTTTTCCTGTAACTTTTTGTCTATACCATCAATACAACCAATATGACCAGGAAGTCTGATTAAATACGAGATATTTAGTTGGCTGCACGATGTTTGTAATGTTCACTTAATCTGATAATTTCTTTAGTTGTGTGTACCTACTACCTATTTATAAAATGCATAATAAAATGTTGAAAAAATGGCACTTTCATACATCAAAGTCAATATATCTGTTATCTCTAAATGAAAATAAATAAGAAGTACGTAAGAATATAATTTATAGACAATTTTATTTTATTTAAAACATACTATGTAGCAAATTTCAATTTTCCTATACTCGTATTTAAATGGGGTATGCATACACATGTGAAATATGTATACCATTAAATTACGAGTGCCGTCAGACATAATATGAGATGACATTAGAGTTTAATATAACATATATCAGAACTTTAAAAAACTATAATTTTGAAACTAATTTAGTCCGATTAATTCTGACTTCACCATCGTTCTTAAATTGGCAAAATACATATGTTCAACACAAAAAAACTGAAAAAATAGATTTGTTCCATATCATTTATTACTTACAAGATTTTCGTCAACATTTGATATTAAAATTACTTAATAGAAAAACATATTACATTGAACTCAATTTTTTTTTTTTTTGACCACAAAGTTAGACTTTTAATGAATTTCCGGTTAAATTTTCAAGCATTTCTGTTTAGTCTAACAATTATACCACAGAGTAAATACCGAATAAAATTTCCGTGCAAAACTCGCAAAATTAAAATGTCTATGTGTAGCTCAAAAATGGCTCAAATTTTTTGAAAATTTTATCATGTATATTATAAAAGACGTTATTATAAAATATACTTTTTTTGTCCAAATTTTAAGTTACTACGAATATTTTTAAATTAATTATTACAAATAACAAAATTTTAAAAATAATAAAAGCTTTATTTTCGTAAATTTCCTGTTTTTCTTAAATGTTATCTCACTTTTCCATTTTACAGGGTTACCTCTCTATCACTTATTCAGCTAAATGTCCCTTTAAGTTTTTCTTTTATTATAAAGTCACTTTTTTCATTTATATTTGTCGTAAATTTTTTTGAACTATTTATATTAATTTTTTTCAAATATTTTTAGATTTATTATTACACAAAAAAGTGATATATTTTAGATTCCGAATGGAGCAAAGAAGCTTATGGTTTTATAGAGATTTTTATTTTTTTTTTCTGTGGACAACTTTTCTACCAGCAAGTTTGCTCCAACTTATAATGATAGCAATTTTTCTAAAAAGAAATTTTACTTGGTAGGTACTTTAGAGAGGTCGTTTATTGATTTTTTCTGGAGTTTTCTCAGCAGATGGAAAATTTGGAAAACATGAGAAAACAGGAGAAATCGGTACAATATTAAATAAATATTATTAATGAAATTGTATAGAGCCTTTTTAATTATTTTATTATAATATGACATATGTATTGTTGACAAAGCTAGTTATATTTTAGTTATCTAAGTATATAAATATCTTAAATCTTAATTGTAACATTGTTATGTTCTAAATGCTGGTTGGTTAACCGAATGTAATCTGTAACCTTTTTAGGTATTTTTCGTTATTTAAATAATTAATATATTTTGTTAGCACATTATTTCAACAAAAATTAATAAAAAGTTTCTATAGAAATTTGTATTTTTCAATTTTGTCAAGATGAAAAATAATCAATTCTTTAAGTTGGTACATTGTACTAACTTGTAATTTAATAATTAAAAGTATCTATTTACTCTACCTGCATTTAAAAGTTAATATGTTTTCATTTTACTACAATGTATCTTATGCAAAATTATAATAACATATTTATAAATTAAGGTAAATCTTATGAAACTCATTTTATTGATGTATTTAAGTAAGTCTCTTTTTGGTCACTTTTTTGATACATTTTTGTGACTATCCACTATTTTAAGTACAAAATATTGGTGGAAACTCTGCTTTTATTGGGAAAACTGCCCGGAAAATCAAAAAATTATTTCCCCAAAGTATCACCCTAAGAAAATTTCCTTTCAGAAAAGGGTTTACATCATATACATCGGAGTAAGATATCTGGTAGAGTTTTTGTACATAGTATAAAAAAAAATAAACATCTTTGTAAAACTAATACATTCTTTGCTACACCCAGAATCTAATAGTATACCTCTAGTAAGGTTTAGATGAATTCATCGTGGTGAGCATAAGTAGGTCGTTTTTTTAGTACAAGATGTGTTGTATAAATTACCAACACATAGTCACTGTATATAAACAAATAATAATAAAAACAATCAATGATAATTGATAACAACTCTGAACCAAATCAAATATATACAAGGAAGTACGCAAAGTCAATAACGACACGTGTCGTAGTTGACATACTTTAAGAAAGCCAAGTACGCAACAGTACGAGAAGTATGCAAAGTAAGAATTTCAGTGGAATAGCATTATGCCAAGAAAGTAAGCCAGGTATGTGCGTACTTGGCGTAGTTTCATTAGTAGAATAGACCCCTGTATATTGTGAGTACAGCTACCTATAGTTTGCAACATCATTGTGCCAACATAACGCATATGATATTACAAGAGTGTCAACAACCTGACACATGGCATTTTTGGATTTTCTTATTTTATTAAAATGTCCATTTTTATTACTATTTTTGCTCCGTTACAGCTACTTCTAGATTTATTTACAGTTATATTGTCTAGAAGATTTTTCATCAAAATTCCTCCTTTTTTCAAATTGCACTAGATAATAAATGGAAAAAATAATGTGATAATAAGTACAATTATAAAGTACATATGTAATTATTTTATCATAATATATATTGTTGAAAAAGTGACACTATCAACCGAAATTCGCTCAGAATCGTTTTTCGTTAGTAATGTTTATTCCTTGCGTACAGATAAACATTATATTTCCTTTCTACTACCTTCCCAACTTCTAACCTACCACAGTACTCTAACATGTGAAGTGTATCCGTTTTTTTTAGTATTTTATTTAAATTCAGCTCAATTTTCTACTTTTCAAATTTGAGAAATTCATAAGCTTGTCATTTTAATCGGTTTTAGCTCCTTTTAAAAATATCCTTTGACTTTATCACTATTACCTGTATATACAGCCTGTCATACGATGTTTGACAGATTTTTCAAGCGTTGTTAATATTACATTTTTTTTTTTTTTTTTTTTTAATTGGTTTGTTTTCGAGGGGGTATTAGTTTGAGGAAAAATTAAACTTGATTTTTCATCCCTTAGACATAGAAAAAAAAAATAACTTAATTTATTCACTTTAGAAAATTTTCAAAATAGCTATTATTCTTAATGTTTTAATGTATCATACATACATATTCGATTAATAGTTTCTTAATTATAGCCGGTTTAATTTCTATAAAATAGATGTGAAAACAATTAATATTCTATAGAAGGTGTAGAATCACCGTGCTGATTGTAATTCCTTATCGCATAACGTGTTATTTTATTGAATATTAATTGTTTTCATGCCTAATTAAAACGGTTACAATTAAGAAATTATTCATCGGCTAAGAATGTTTGATACATTAAGATTTTTAGAATAATATTTTTTACAAAATGGCTATTTTGAAAATATTCTAAAGTGAACAAATTAAGTTGTTTTTTTTCTGTCTTTAACGGATGAAAATAAAAATTCAATTTTTTTCCAAATCGATGTGTTCTCTTTGAAGATAAACCTATTGAAAAAAAAAATCGAAAAAATTTAATATTAACAGCGCTAGAAAAATCTGTCAAACACGGTAGAACATACTGTATATTGGGACCCGTTTCGTTACCATTTTACACTAAGCCGTTGCATATATTTTTCTTATATGAATGCTCGTATATAATATACTCTTATTTTTATGTAATAAAAAAAGACAAATTTTTCCATTCTTACAATTGCATGGACAGCATATTATAGAATGATGTTGACGTGTGGTTGAAACTAAAGATGTTCATTTCCCGACTTTGATCCTTGGTAGACTGATGGTTGATTTTCCGATTCTCCGTTGACTTCCACTGATAGACGTTAACTCATCATTTGGAACTGAAATTTCCTCTGACTAAATTTATCATTTCCTATTCGCTGGAGATAATGAATTTGTCAGGAACTGAATCTGAATCTTAGAAAATCTATTTCCAATTATGCCACTAAAAATAGTTCCTTGCGGATATTTGCGGCCAACTTTACCTATTATTCGGCTGAGTGCTAGAACTACGGACGGAGATGTAATAGAGATTAGCCTGCTCGACATTTTATGTGTCACGATCGAACTGATTTATCAGTCGGTTAATTTATGAGAACAAAATAACTACAGTGATTACAGAATAAACTACTAGGAAGATATATTTCATTATAAGGTTAAAAAGCACAATTAGATGTTAATAAGCACATATAATTTAAACTACTTGTTATTGGATATTATAACATTTATGGTGATATGGTCATATGGAGCAGTCAGAGAGCCAAGTCTTCACAAATAATGATAGAAAGCTCGACTGAATAATATTTGATTCCCTATGGTGCCTAAAGGTATCGGAACCCTGTGAAACGGAAAAGTTTTATCTGCCCGTGGGCGCTCGTATGTATCGATATTGTATTGACGCGCATTATAGTTAAACTAATATTATAATACTGTACTATTTTATATTATTAATCTACCATTGACCACAACAATACAATTAAAACAAAAATAAGTATATTTTTAATGAACTATTCCTAAGCAATTTTAATTATTCTCTATCACACTACTGTACCTTCTCTTTATTTCGTGCCCGCTACAAATTCTTATCAAAAAAATGTTACCGCCATTTCATCTCCTGTACGGAGTCTTCTTACATAATCGACGCTATTTCTGGAGTTTTATTCGTAAAATATGCTCCGCTTCATCTACCCCTCCAAAGTCACTTATATTGATTCAACCAGTGAATATCTTTTCGAAGCCGCAAACCTTTTCTCAAATCAGTTATTTTCTGTTTACTTCTCCGCCCCCTCTTCTGACTCAATAGCAATTTTTTCTTTCCCACTACCTTCGTACTCTTTGCCCAACAACGTCGATTTCTCCTCAACTTATGTATCCATATCATTAAAGTCCCTACGCAATCAACGATCGTCCGGTTCGGATGGAATTCAAGGCTACTTTCTATTCATGTTATCTGACTCCCTTGCTTATCTTCTTTCTATACTATTTAAAAAATTCATAAATTCCAGTATCTTCCTCTCTATTCTTAAACAAGGGTCTATGACCCCTATTCATAAATCTTTCTGTCATTCTAACTTCACAAATTATCGACCTATAATCTTTCTCTCTTATTCATCAAAAATGTTTGAATCACTAGTACATAACTTCATACGTCCTTCCCTTAATCACATTATCTCTGATGATCAACATGGATTTCGTCCCAGTCGTTCTACAACTACATGCAATCTTGATATCACTTCCTTCATATTTAACTCCTTTGCTGTTCGGAGCCAGGTAGATATTGTCTACACAGATTTTTCTAAGGCGTTTGTTTATGTTGATCACTCGTTATTTGTCAAAACTTTGGACCTGTTTGGTATCGGTGAACCATTTCTCTTCTGGATCCCCTCTTATTTTACAAACTAACTCCTGTATATCAAAATTCAGAACTCATCATCTAATGCCTTCTACCTTTCTTCTGGTGTACCTCAAGGAGTGGTTCTCTCATCTCTCCTCTTTGCCTTTTTCATAAACTCAGCTTCTTCCGTACCCTGACGACATAAAACTCTATTCACGCATCTCTCCCTTCTCTTACTATCACTTATTGCAATCAGATTTAAATCCATTGGTTTCTTGGGGTGAATTCTTCGGCCTTTATTTAAATATCTCCAAATACTCAGTTATGACTTTTTTCTACATATAAAATGCAGAAAACTCGCCTCCAATTTAACTACCATATCTTGGCAAAATCATCTTCCGGAGCCTTTGTTTGTGATCTTGGTTTCACTTTAACGTCTACTCTCTATCCTCTCAAGCATATTGAAATTGCCTGCTGTAAATTCTTCAAACTCTTGGGGTCCGTTAACCAAACCACCCAACAGTTCCATCTTCTTTTCCCACTCAAAAATTTTTTCTGCTCCCTTGTTCGCCTTATCCTAGAATATCTGTCCTCTGGGACCCTTTAACATCTTGTGGTAAATTCACTATCGAGCGTGTTCAACGCAATTTTTTTCATTTAGTTGCCTTCAGTTTTAATATCCCCCACCCACCTCATAATTACTCTTTCATTCTCCAAGATTTACAACTAACTAGCCTTGCTGATCGCAGGCACTTATCTAACATTCTTTCTCTCTAATATTATTCTAATATTATCTCTGGCAAAATTGATTCTCCTTCTCTTTTATCTTAACTTAATTTTAAAATTCCTCTTTGTCTTACCCACTATTCTCCGCCTTTCATAATTCCTTTTTTCTAATTATTCACTCAACTCTTCTATTTCTCGCCTTGTGTGCGCTACCAACTCTGACCTCTCATTCAACCTGTAACCTGTCTACTTATCTACTTTTATTATTTTGAGCTTGTCCTGTATATTGAATAAAATAAATAAAAATAAATTATTATATGTTTGATAATACCTAAAGTAAGAAATTAATATTTGAATTTTTGGGGTCTTAATTATTTTAAAATTATTTGTTTACTAAAAAATGTTTGTTTGAACAAAATATATCTAATTATACTGTATATTATTAAGATTTATGTTTTAACTGTATCTAAATAAAAATATTACAAGATTTAATTTTTTTTTTTAATTAGCGAAAACGAAAAATATCAAACTCCACATTAGCTGCTGAAGATTTTCCGTCCAAAAAACAATATTATGATCAAAATAACTTGACACTTGAAAGGTATGTAAATACTATATTGTTATATTATTATATTATTTTTTAAGTTATCTATAACATAATCATAATTAATGTCGTACTATGGCTTATTAAATGATACATATTATACGTTTTGAAAGTACAAACATTTAATTAGACATTTATCTTCTTTATCTTTTAACAATAAATTCAACATTTAAAAATAAAAACTTATTTATTTTAGATTCGGAGTGGAGCAAAGAAGCTTATAGTTTTATTTAGGTATATTAGAGAAGTCATTTTTCTATATTTTTTTTAGGAGTTTTCTAATCAAATTTGAAAAACCAAAAAAAAAAACAGAAAAATATTATTATATATTAATATATTTGTATAATATTACAATTTTTTTTTTCTGTAGACAACTTTTCTACCAGCAAAGTTTACTTCAACTTTTAATGTTAGCAATGTTTCTAAAAAAAAATGTCACTAGCGAGGTACTTTAAGGAGGTAATTTTTCGATTTGCTCAGAAGTTTTCCCAACAAATGTGAAAAACGGGATAAAACATTGATAAACGGAAAACTTAGAAAAACCGAGAAAATCCGTACAGTACAACATTAAACAAATATTATTAAAGATTAAAGATTATTATTAAAGATAATATTAAAGCTTATTTAATTATTTTACTATACAATTACATATATATTGTTTACAAAGAATATCTATCAAATGAACTCCGCTCAGAATCGTTTTTTGTAAGCAATGTTTTATTATTGATTACAGATATACATTAAAGTATCTATAGCAGTGGCAGTGGCTGCGCCCGTCCCCATTATCCTAGGACGTCTTTTTAAATTTTAATCCCTGATATCAGTGGCACAACCAAGGAGGTTGGGATTTTTTTTTTTTATAAACCTAAAATTTTGTTATTGCTTGGATCAATAAATTTAAACAATTTACAACAAACGACAATACATTGGTTTCTTTTGTTGATTTTTGGGTTATCTTGATTACACAGGAAAAACAATTAAACCTTACCAGATTATAGATCTTTACTCAAAATCATTTTTTGAATGCAATGATTTATATAATTAAATTATCTTATTACCTATTTCTTTGATACTTCCCGCCCATAACAATTGATACGATGTTTATTATGCATGGTTTTTATATTATTATTTAACTAATAAAAATAAATTTAATATTTTTTCTTACCCATAATTATTTGTCATTAGTCTTAAGGAAATAAAATGTGTTGTTTTTAAATTTAGATTCTGGTTATAAAAATAACTTTTTGTTTTTTTTTTTTTTCAAAAAATAGTGTTATAATTAAAAAATACCAAAAAAAATTTCCTAGGATAACGGGGACAGGTGCAGCCACTGTTATAGGTAATTTAATGTGTACCTGTAAACAACGATACACCATTGCTTTCAAAAAAACAATTCTGAGCGGAGTTTGATTGATAGTGATGCTTTGTCAACAATATATTGTGTATTATGATAAAATATTAAAATAGGCATTATATATATATATATATTTATTAATAATATTTGTTGAGAAAAATCCTGGGAAAATCAAAAAAAATGACCTCCCTAAAATACTTTCCGTGTCAGATATCCTTTCAGAAAGAGTGCTATCATTGTAAATTTTGGTCAACAATAAAAATGTAATTTTGTAGTAAAATTATTTAATTTGACTTATATATTTTCTTTACTAATATTTGTTTAATGTTGTTCTGATTTCCTGGTTTTTCCTGTTTTCCCATGTTTTTTCTGAGTGTTTCACATTTGCTGAGAAAACTCTTGAGAAAATCGAAAATGACTCTTTTAAGGTACCTTCCCACACTGATTTCCTTTCAGAAAAGTTGCTACACGTAAAAATCGGAGCAAATCCTCTGGTAGAAATGCTGTCCACAGAAAAAGAAAATAAATAATAAACATTTTTGTAAAACTATAAGCTTCTTCGTTCCGCTCAGAATCTAAAATTTGGATTTTCATTGATGGTACTTTTTTGGAAATTTTCAATATTTTTTTAAAAAAATTGCTTTATATATTTGTTTTTATTTTTTTTCTAACACTTGGTTAAGCTAATTTTTTTTGTAGCATACAATTATATGGAAAATGTTTATCCAGTAGTACACTATTTCCAAAATGCATCAACATTTTCAGCAATTCACATACTTTAACTTTTTTTTATTAATTTCTGGGTTACCTCGGCAACAAGGGAAAATCCGACTAGTTTACTAAAACTTTACTATTCCTTTCAAAATTGTTTTTTTTTTTTTGTTTGCATTGATTTATAGTTGCATACAGTAAATGAACTAAACTACACTGTACATCCAATAGGTACCTTCCTAACCACCCTCTGCAACAGTGAGCTATTAGTGAGCAATATCAATTTTTTGAAAAACCCCTCTTAAATTAAATCTTGGTTGCACCACTGTCAAATTTATAGTTTGTTTCTCTAGAAAAGTAAAAAAATTAAATTGAACAAGTTTTATTATTTTTATTGGGTGGAAGAAGCATAGAACTTATAAACAATAATAACAAATTGTAAATAATAATTTAAGCTTCTTAATTTTCATACTAAATAATATATAATATTTCCCCTTCACAGTAAATATTATATTCATAATAGAGGTCTCAAACAATATTTATATCATACGTGTTTTTAAAAATATTGTATGTACATTTTAATGTGTTAAGCATATATTATATATAAAAAGAGTAATCATTCTCTTGTTTGCAAGATATAGTACATATTTAAGCTGATAAATAACGTAGTATTATGTTAATTTTTAAATAAACATCTTTATAAAGTGAATAATACAAAAGTTTGGATGTTTGTGACTCAAAATGATTAGTTGGATAAAATTTGGCACACAGATAGATTGTATTCTATAATGCACGATATTTTTTTTATACAAGGTTTTTAATATTTTTAGAACGATCATGGTGATAAGGATAAAAAATGTTTTTAGTTAATTTGGTTGTCATGAGAAAACTACCCTTTAAAAAAAATAATTACCTATGAATAATTGATAATATAATAAGCATAATTATACTTATTTTATAATTTAAAACTTTTTAAAAAAGTATGCATTATTTAAACTTGTTTTATTTACTATTTAGGTATACATTTTATCATTTAATAATATTATTAATCTAGATTTCAAAAGTAAAATTTGTTTTATATTTCGTCATTTATTTTTAGACTGACACCCAAAGTGGCTGAAAATGAATTAGATAAAGTAGATAAAATAAAAATACGTCGAAGTTGTATACCATCCAAAGATGATCCTCCTGAAGAAATGATGGAATGGTTAAAAACTTTTACGGTTTGTAGAATTTTACTATTATTATTTAGTGGCCTACTTAAGGTTTTTTTTCTATATATTTTTAACTTTTAATTATTGTGTTTTATACTTTGATTTAGAAATGGTCAAATGCAGAAAGGATGTTAGCTATAGATATGTTAGTGGACGAATGTGAACCAACTCAAGTCCGTCATATGTTACAGCTTATTGAACCACAATTCCAAAGAGATTTTATTTCTTTACTTCCTAAAGAAGTAAATATTCATTAAATATTTGTGTATTCTTGTAATATTAATGAAAATATATTATATCCTAGCTGGCCTTATATGTATTATCATATTTGGAACCTAAAGATCTATTAAAAGCAGCCCAAACATGTCGTAGTTGGCAATTTCTATCTGAAGATAACTTATTATGGCGGGAAAAGTGTCAAAACGCTGGTATACCATTGATGGATCAATCAATTATGAAATATTTTAGAAATCATTATGGTGTCTCACCATGGAAGGTATTTATTTAAACTATCAATATTAATTTATTTGATATAATTACACTTAAATTAAATGTCCTTTTTTTCTCAGGCTTCATATATGAGACATCATTCAATTGAAATGAATTGGAGAGTAAGACCTATGAAAATGCCAATAATACTAAAAGGTCATGATGATCATGTCATTACGTGTTTACAATTTTGTGGAAATCAGGTTGTTAGTGGTTCTGATGATAACACACTTAAAGTTTGGTCAGTTATAACTGGGAAAGTAAGTGTTTATTAAACAATTATTTTAATTTTTTTTGCCTTTTGAGTATATAAAAAATAATATTTATGTTTAAATTTTGATAGTGTTTGCGTACTTTGGTTGGCCACACTGGTGGAGTATGGTCTTCACAGATGGCTGACAATGTAATAATTAGTGGTTCTACTGATCGAACTTTAAAAGTTTGGAATGCAGAAACTGGTCATTGTATACATACATTGTATGGTCATACTTCAACTGTTCGTTGTATGCATTTACATGAAAATAAGTATGTGTACATTATTCATTTTTTATGCCAAATCAAAAATAAAACTCCATTTATTCCTTTAGAGTTGTAAGTGGTTCAAGGGATGCATCACTAAGATTGTGGGATGTAAAGACTGGGCAGTGTTTATCTATATATCTTGGCCATCAGGCTGCTGTACGTTGTGTCCAATATGATGGTCGGTTAATCGTTAGTGGTGCTTATGATTACCTTGTGAAAGTATGGGATGCAGAAAGTGAAACTTGCTTACACACATTAACTGGTCACACTAACCGTGTTTATTCCTTACAAGTTAGTTTATTTTTAACTATTTAAATTTGGTAATTTAATTTTTAAATCTTCTCCACCTTCATCCCAGCTATTTGAGGTCAGCCACCTTTGTTCTAAATTTTCACTTTACTCAATCTACCACCTCGCATATATTGGCCATCCTTGAGTGTTCTCATATCATTCTCAATTGGATCCAACCACCAATTTTTCAGTTTTTTTCTTATGTTTATTTCTATTATAATTCTTACTGCTTTTGATTCCTCTCTCCTCATAACATGCCCTAACCATTTTAGTTTATGTTCTCTTTATTCATTTAGGTATACAAAATTGGACACTTTTTTAAAATAGTGTAAACAATGATTAAAAAAAATTATTAAAGAATATACTTTTAGTCTAACTAGATGGCCTGTGAAAAATCATTTCATATTTTCTAAATTGTTTTTATATACCAAAGATATAATAGTCTTAATTAATTAATTTTTTTTTAGCTTATGACTAGTAATAGATGTAAACCTAATTTGGTATAGTGGCATAATTTGTATTAAAAATACTTAATGTTTATGTTGGTCTGAAGGATGGAAAACAATGGTCTCTTCCTAGACACTGCCTTGCTCAGTGAGAGCGGCTCCACATATATCCAGACATTTAATTTACTAAATTATCTTTCAGTTTGATAGTACTCATGTGGTTAGTGGATCATTAGACACTAGTATCAGAGTATGGGATGTGGAGACAGGTTCATGTAAGCACACTTTAATGGGGCATCAATCATTAACATCTGGCATGGAGCTAAGAGATAACATTTTAGTATCTGGAAATGCAGATTCTACTGTTAAAGTATGGGATATACTTACTGGGCAGTGTTTACAAACTTTATCAGGTAAAAGTTAATATTATATTATTTTATTTATTTTTTTTTTTTTGCCATGTTTTAAATACTTCAATTTGTTTATAAACAGGTTCAAATAAACATAACTCTGCCGTTACATGTTTACAATTTAACACTAGATTTGTAATAACATCTTCTGATGATGGAACTGTTAAATTATGGGATGTTAAAACTGGTAATAATTTACACCATTTTTAAAAAATAATTAAGAACATTTGTATACATTTAAAAAATGATAATTTTTAATATTGTTTTATAGGTGAATTTATTAGAAATTTAATAGCCCTAGACAGTGGGGGAAGTGGTGGTGTCGTTTGGCGAATACGAGCTAATGAAACTAAATTAGTATGTGCAGTGGGCAGTCGCAATGGTACCGAAGAAACTAAATTGTTTGTATTGGATTTTGATGCAGACTATAAGTAACATCAGATAAAAAATTTGTTGTTGGCATCACATTTTGTGGTTTAAGGAGAGTTACGAATATTTGGGACTGTTATTACTTAAGATTAAAAATGTCCCTTATATATTATCAGTTAGCACATTTTACCGTTATCATAATGTTTCAGTATTATGTTTTTTTTAAGGGGGGGATGTAAGGTTTTAAGCCAAATTATAAAGTAATTGGAGTGATGGTTTGTGATTTATAGCATAATAAATGAAATTGTTAATTAATTTGGATATTACATTCTAGTCTTTGAAAGCAATAACATTTTCTGTAGTCAACTATAATAATCATATTACAATCTAATAGCTTTAATAATTGGTTGTTCATATTGAAGTTAGTAGTGTTATGTTTAATCTGCTGGCCGGAAAATTATTTGAGAAGAGTGCGTAGTTAAATAGTTTAAATATAAAAAGTTAAAATGTTTGAAAATTGTTAGTTTTCTATTTATTATTATTTTTGTTTTTAGTTAGGTGAAAGTGGAAAAAAAAACAAATACATTTTAACTAGTTATAAACTTGTATCTCAAAAGCTTTAAATAAAACGTGTTTCAAAATTTCAGACTATACTTTATTTTTTTAAAGAATTTTCTAAAGATTTTGTTATTTTAAGTACTTCAATTTTCTTTATTATTATTATTATTATTATTAGAATTTTATTATTAATAATACAAAGTATTGGTTTTATTTTTTTAACTTGCCATAAGTGTTAAGTTAAGAGGAGGAGGAGAGTTTGAATTCTAAAGCTCCTTGTTTATCTTGAGGTTTTTTCTTTTTTTCTTCTTCTTGATCTCACAACTAAATAAAACATTGAAAAACTCTTATATATACTATTCTGTGTAATCTTTTATATTTTTATTATTTTAGTTTATGTTTGTAATTTTGTGTTTTTAAATCTTAACTGTCCAGCTGTAATACAAATATGTTGATAGTTCGGTTTTATAATTTTAATTTTAATGGTGAATTAAATTATTTCCATATTGGATTTTAAGGTTATGTTCATCTTTCTTAAAATCGATTTTGTTGTATTTAAACATATTTAATACAACTTCAAACTTAATAATAAATGTTGAATTCATTTTATTACATAATAATTTTTAAAGTAACCTCAGATTAGTATAATATTAATTTTGTTATCAATACACATTTAAGTTATTTGAGAGTAAAACGATTTTAAAATACTTAAATTTTAAACTTTCAAATTATAATTGTAATCATTATAGTAATATATTATGTATTTTATTATCTGTGAATTATTCGAATATTTCATTTTTAAAATAATCATTCCAAATATAAATATATTATAATTAGTTTGACAATATGAATTGTTTTTAAATTTGTATTATAACTGGACACAATTTGATTTGAGAATCATTTTTGATTAATTTTATTTATGATTAATATTCAATAATTATAGTTTAATTTTATACTTGAATTTTAAAATTTATTATTTACCTTCTAGCAGTTTTTGTTCAAAGTCAAAAGTGTGTGCATTGGTAATTCAACATTTATTGTAAAAGTTACCAATTCAATTTTCCTGATAAATACATATAGTATTATATATTTAATAATATTTTACTGTGTCTTTAACCATAAAAGTGTCTTGTTGAAATAATTTAGTGGAAATAAAAATATTTAGAATTTAATTTAAAAATTATTACACTGTTTAAATATTATAAAAATCTTAATGACAAAGCTATAGACCTAAAATAACAATGCATTTAAAATATTCTATTGAAAGTAATAAACTTATTATCTAATACATAATCAATTTTTCATTGAATAATTATAAATAAAATGCATGTTTGAATTACACAAGTTTTGAAATAAAAAACTAGTTCATTAACAAACATTATTACAGCCATTTGAATTATTCAATTACAATTTTAAGTATATATTGTTTAAATGATCTCTATTGAGTAATTTGTTTAATTATGAAGAAGGTTAAGCTATAAAAAATGTATGAGATTCAAGAATGTCGAAAGTTGGTAGAAGAGTGGGTATGATTGTGACATTATGTTACTCATTTGTAAAATTAAAATTATATTATTTATGTTAGACAAATTTTTATACTGGGAGATGGGAATTTGATGAAATGGAAGGTGAATTAAGTGCAATTGTTTTCTAAGTGTATATTTAATAGCATTGCTTGAAATGTAAATATATTTATTTTCTAATTTGTATCAATATAATTTAATAATTGAAATTGTTGATTATTAATTAAACTATTAAATATCTTTCATTGAAGAATAATCATGAACTTATTAATTACAATGCTCAATGTTGATAGTATGTAAATATTATTTTGGTAATATTATTTAGCTATCATGTCATTGATGATTTTGTACTATTACTATATAAAATGAACAAAATTACCATGTTTTGTTTTGTGCCAAAAACTAGACTATTTTGCGGATAATTTATTTAATTTTACCCGATGTTATTAATAATTACAATTATAATCCACCTAACATTACATTCGTAGTTGCCAATTGCAATATTGTAATTTATTATTATTATTATTATTATTATTATTATTATTTATTATAATTTTTGGTACAAACAGTTACTTTTTTTCTCTTTCTATTACCTTTATAAAAAGTTTTATTCCCACTACACCATTGTTAAAACATTAAGATATCATATGATTTATCCAGTCAGACATTTTAAAAATACACTACATGGTGTAGTGGTAACTAAACTTTAAGAATGTTCCATAATTCAATATGTTATGTCTTATTGAGTGTATTCAACATATTTACCGATGTTATCCGTAAACGAATACATTTATTTTACATGATATTTTGTATTGGGGAACATTCCATTATGCTAGAACTCAACCACTAGTTAAACATTTTATTACCAGATAATCATAATGTTAGTCTATATATACTGTATTTAATAATTTATTAACAACAAAATAGTATCAGATTTTGTTTTATTTATATCAAGGAATCAATGACAGACCATTACATATTTATTTATTTTAATTTTAAGTATATTATATTTGATAAAACAATTTGTTCATAATGTTGTTTGGACTGTATTAGATACATAAACATAATAGTTAAATTACCTGTTAATAATAGTAAAATTATTTTTAAGACCTGTGATTTTCTTAATTTACTTCTTTCATTTTGTAACCTCACCAATATTAATATACTTATGATATATTATGACTTGTTTATGAATATATAAATATATATATATATATTTTTTTTGTAAATTTAAGAAACTAAACCAATAGATATTTGTAATGAATAGAATTTTAATTTTAAGTTACAGATAATATTTAAGTAATTCTGTTGTTATTTATTTTTCTCTTGTTTATAGACATGTAAAAATGTACAATCTTCATAAATAAAAAAAATAAAAATGTTTTTATGAAATCATTATATACTATTAATTGTAGTACAATTTATATTTATATTAATAATGTTTGATGTTTCATATTTCATACACTTTGTAAACATCTTAAAAACTTGGTGTCAATATGTACAAGGTGTCAATCTATTCTAAGACACTCATTATCTCGGAAAGTATTAGCTTTTTTTGAAATTCATTTTATAGAAAATTTAAGAAACATGCATCTCTACAATTTTACATGTATGTTATTTTTTGTCACCCTTATTTTGGGGATAAAATCACTATCTACATTTGATTTTCAAATGATAACCTATACTAAAAATGTCATAAATAGACGGAGTATTAGTTAAACTAAATTTTGGTGTTAATTTTTTGATTTTGTCAACTGTTGACAAAATATTCCCCTTTAAAGTTTTGGTTGGAGGATAGTAGTGGAGTATCATTTGTGTGGCGGTATAGAGCGCAGCGTGTTAATAATGTTGGGAAAGTTTCATTTTAAAGGAAAATTTATACCTATTTACACTAATTATGTATTATTGGTTTTATTTTTCAGATACCTATCAAAAAAAGAAAGTTACTACCTACTATTATGTACTTAATTAGTTGATCTGTTTAATATCTGTAAGTAATTCAATTAATGTCAATTTTTAATGAAACAAAAATCAAATTGAAACCTAATCTTCAAATTTAAAAATAAAAAATTATTCTTAGATGAGTGATACCTTTCTTAACTATCAATTCCAATGTATATTTAGAACTATTGCATTATATAACAATACAAATTTTAAGTTATAAATAAAATAGTATAGCTCAATTTAAAATGACCTTTGCATTTTATGATTTGAAGCAATGTTATATACTAGTACATATTAGATAATATAGCAAACAAAAATAAACATGTATTTGTTAAAAAAAATAACAAAAAACCTTTATTAAAAGCTGTTTATTATAGTTTATATCTTAGTTTAGGAAATAAATTGAATAAAAATTTCGTAAAATAATAATTAAATATAAACAGTATAATATTAAGTACCTTATTATAATCACAAATTTAAATAAACAATAAAATAAACTACATTTTTATTGGTACATTTTAAATAATTTTGGAACACAATGTTATTATACTTTGTTAACACAAATTTAGGAAGGTAGCAAATTAAATGAAGCTATTTGGTTCTGGAACAGAAAACTGATTCCTTCTTGAGATCATTTTTGGTGGATTCATTTTACTGAGAACATCTTTCCAGCCATACAATGAAACATTTTGTTTTAGTGGCCATCTCCAACATGTTAATTTTTTTCCATGCAGTACACCATAACTTTTTTTCCAGGTATACTCTGTACTTTTCCAGGATATTTTTCTTTATTAAATAACGCAATTATAAAATTATCAACAGCTACATCTGCTGGGTTAAATTTTTCTTGGTTAATTGGTTTGTTTGGTTCATCCTGTTCTGAGTCAGAAAAACTTCACTGTCTTCATCAGATTCTAATAAAGTTAAATCATCTTCAACAATTGATGAACTTGACTAAGAAACTTTTATTTTATTTTTTTGAGGTTCAGTTTGATAGGATGTTTTCTATGGTATTTTAAGATTATTAACAGTGATACTTTT